TTAATATGATATTATCATGATATTGCAAAATCAATATATATTGTGATATAGCTATCAAAATTAAATGTATAGATAAAAAAGAAAGGGCTGTATTTGTTCATCAGAAGATATCGATCGTTTAGTTATTTTGGTATGTTTGGGGTTTGAGTCAGTCCATGCCTTCCACTATGACTGCCAGATATGGCACTGCATCACACATCGCAAGGGCTCCTCACGCTATCTGCCATTTTCCCTCATTGTTTTACGTAAAATGTTTAGTTTAAAAAAAAAATCAATATTAGGAACTGAGAGATCAATATATCGGGGAGCTGAAAATCACAATATATATCGCCGAAACGATTATTTAGCACACCCCTATTTAATAAAGCGTGATTAAAATTAGGGCTGTCAATTTAAATTGCAATCATTTTTAACCAAAACTGCGATTTTTCCTTTGCACTAACCCCAAGCTTTTAAACGTTTCACCCAGGCGTTCGGTTTTTGAAAGCTTCCTTGCTGAACAATTTTGCATAAAAAATCTACACTGCAATTATTTTTTAACGAAATTGCAACGCGATTTTATTTCGGTTTTCCTTTGCACTAAAGGCTAGTTTATGCTCAGGAACCAGGTCCTCTGCTTGTGTGTCGCAGTTAACCTTACAGGCTTGTTTTGTTTGTATGACCGCTATTGTGGAAAACGACTCGTGAAGTTGGACCAGCTAGCCATACACCACGATACAGCTAGCTAGAAGAGCGAGGTGTGCAAGAACGCTGGGATCCTTTTTCCTCCTGGAACCCCGTTCTTTTTGGTCCTCATGTTCCTCCGTTGTCGCAGAAACTTGCCCCAACTTCCTCTCTGCCTCGGCCGTATCTAGACCCACAGCTAGCTCCTGATTGGCCCTCTGGCATTGTGGCGTGGATTAACATAGCGTAATATTGGGCATAAATCAAAAATGTCTGCGTAATACTTGCAACACACTGCTACGGGAGCAGTGTGTCACAGCCCTTAACCCCAGGCTTGTTTCACCTAGGCGTTCAGTTTTTGAAAGCTTTCTTGCCCAGAGTCCATTGTGAGAAACATTTTTTTACTTGTGCTAGCATGTAAAGATCTGCGTGCTAGCTAGAACTCTCTCTACTGTTCCGTGTGGCGACGAAACCCACTTCAAGAATTTTACCGCAACCTAAAAGGCTGGAGGGAGAAATTTAGTTACATATGGTGTGATTAAAAATCAGTGCCTCTGCAATTGGAATTTTTTATTTTTTTTTTATTGCGATTATATCGCAAACGCGATTAATTGCCTTAATTTGAGCTGGTAGATGCATTAGGGTGTGTAGCTAAAAGCTGTAGCTGCGGGACTCAGTTTTCTGAGGATGACTTCAGTAACAGGTGAGTTTTCTCTCCTGTTCCGCAGCACCGGCTGCGTGTTGGGCCTAGGCCTCGCGCTCTCAGCGCTCTGCAGCAGAGGCCAGGTGGAACAGCAGGTCCACGTCACCAGAACCCTTGACAAGCTACTGGCTAACCTGCAGGACAGCGGCGGGCAGGGTCGCATGCTGCAGGAGGTACGACAGCACCACACTTCAGCACTTCTACAGGAGGGATGGAGTTCACATTAGACGATACAATGATCTCTGTAGCTTTCATACCAACGTTTCCTCATTTGTGACAGGTTTTCTATGGAGCTTATTATTTTATATATAAAAAAGTTCTATGCTACTTTAATAGAAGTTAAAATATCATTTGTTGCCCCAGTCTCTTGTCCTGACTGGGATCAGAGCTTGATCCTGATCAACAGCAGCAACCATTGTACTTCTTCAGGTGCTGTCTTACTCTGTGGCCTGTGTGAGCGTCTCAGCGTTCAGCGGAGGTCTGATCGATGCTGCCAAGGCTGAGGAGGTCCTGAACAGTCTGCGCGCCCTGACCGAGGAAAGCCAGCAGGTTAGGAGGGGCCCCTTCCTGTATATTTACCTTTGATTTATTGCCTGTTAGAGAAAACTATTTTTAATAAAGTCAGAAAGACGTGAAGGTCAGAAATCAATGGTGAAGTCCATTTTTACCCGGAAGTCAACATTTTTGACAGGGACGCTCCTGAAAGTTGAATTATTGTTCGATGGCCGTAGAGTCTTTCGACACTTCGACTCCTTGACTGAGAGTTCTGAGGTTAATTGAAAGCACCATTAATACCTGAACACAGCGGCTGCGTTTTTAATCTCCCATCTGATTCGTTTTTGTTCCATGTCATACTGACTGCGTAAAGAGAGGCTCCGACTAGGCAGGGTAAGCAGATCTGCGCAGATTTATTTATTTTTTTCACTTTTCTCTCTGTGCTACACCAATAATTTACCATATTTGACTTGTCAGATTATGAAAAGTTATTGAAAATAAATAAATATGTAAAACACAGGCACAGCTATAAAGCAAAGCCCCACATAACGAGTCTGAGCAGCATCTCAAACCGGAACAGAAAATGTTCAGATATTAAAAACATAAAGAGATCTATGACTAAAGAAAAGGAAAATAAACCAATAAACGCTGTGGGACGGTTTCTAAACTGTTTCTAAACTGACTCTTTTTCCGTGAGATCAACTGATTTTATTTTGTATTTTCCTCCAAAGCGGATGCGTTTTACTTTGAAACCGCGTCTCTCTTCCTGTCATGAAATTGCTGCTGAATCGCTGCGTAGTCAGACTAAAACAGACCTGGGCTCTATCTTAGTCGGAGCTACGCTGCCCCCTACAGGAAATCATCCGCATTGACTTTTAATGAACGCTAAATACCACAACCTCTAAGGCGCCATTTTCTGTCTGATCGGATGCAAAATTGGGTCTTCCGACCTTTCCTGTAGTTCCTGTTAGCGCTCAGTCTGGTCCAGGGTTCCAGTTGTTCCTTGAAATTCTCGAAATTTTATTAAATAACAAAAAAATAAAAAAGTTTAAGGCCCTGCAAGGTTTTTAAAAACTGCTATAAAACAACATTTGTCCATATTTAATGTTGAAGTTTCTTCAACTTCACGGCTGCTGTCCAGGTTTGTTTCCTGTTAGTTTAGCTGACATCATCTCACCAGGGTCAGACTGTACGGAAGCCGAGAGCGGTCGTATTCGATTTATTTTTTTTTAATTTTCCTTCTCAAGAT